TCAAGAACCACATCGGTTTTGAAATCTTACTAGTGGGAGCTATGTTCCTCATCATAATCGAACCACCAACATGAAAAAGACAATATTTTCAAAGTTGATGATGCTTGTGTCATCAATATGTTAGACCTTCAGAGAGGTGAGAGAGACACAAACACATCAACTTCCAAATTATTGCCTCCCACTCAAATCTGTACCTTCAGAGATTTAGAGAGAGCCAAGGGCGTATGCAACTTGAGTTAGAGTTGGAATCCTAATAGAAAAGTAAAAGTGATGAAAAGCCCCAATTTATCTTTACATTAAGGGGTTTATTTGTAAAGAGCGCGATGTTATTCACACTAACCATGGTAGTTTTTTTTCGTAAATAGCACCGTAGCAGAAGTAAAATCTTGTCGTGTAAATCGAAATAACCACGTCGATTCCCTAAAACTAAAAGTCGTTGACTATAATACCAACCACGTTGGTTCGCTATAAACAAGCGATGTATTGACTTATAATATCACGGCAGCAAAAGTAAACTTTTGTCATGTAAAACTATAAATAACCACGTTGGTTTTGGAATTCCAAAAGTCGTTTGGCTTTATTATTAACCACGTCGGTTTCTACTACTTTTTCGTCTTTTTAACGACATACTAGGGCGGTTTTTAACAAAACCGTCATGTTATTGAACTCTGGGATAATATATATACTTTTTTGTCACCTGGCCTAAAGTTTTACATTCTCTCTAACTGATAAAATATTTCAGTTTCCTCTCAGTTTTCCTGTTAGTTCCCAAACGCAGCGTGTCTAAATCTCATCATCTTCCTCGTCTTCGTCTCTAAATCTCCAAAGTTTACGTCAGAAGAAAACTTTCTTTGCACGCCAAAGGTTTTTCTCACACTTTTTTTTTTCAAAATCATTTAAAGTTTTTTTTTAAAGAAATAGTCTGGAAACAAGACTCCGTTTTCAAAATGGCAAAATCTTTCATTGGTTTGAATAAATTCACTAGTCCCTCAATCTCACGTCATGTGAAGACGACGGTTTTGTCTTGTTTACGCCGTTTTAATTAACACACCACAACGGTAATTAAATCGGTGCTATTGCAAATAGCACGACGTTAGTTAATCATCATCGTGGTGTGCTATTTAATACAAGGTGAACAAGATAAAATCATCATCTTATTATGAGTAACACAAAATAGAGAGAGATTTGAGTGGTTTTTTTTTGGTATCACTCTTAATTAGACGACGGTTTTTTCTTGTTGACGTCGTTTTATTTTTCGTACGATGACGGTGGCTTTCGCACCATGGTTGTGTTTTTCTACCAACGTCTTCTGTATAATATTATGTCATTCTTTTTAATTAACCGTCATTTTTTTACTTGCTAGTTTTATTTCTCGCTAAACATGTTTTCGAAATCTCAAATTAAGGATGCTCAAGTTTCAAAAGTTCAAAGTAAGGACCTTGCAGTTTCAAAGGCTCAAATGAATGAAGCCAAATCAGTTTAAAGCAATCCCGCGAAGAAGATGAGATTTACTTCAATCTCAGAGAAAGACCCTAGCTTAGCGACATTTGATGAGGAGCCAAAATTGACTCATGGTATCAACATAATGAGCCGTGTTGTGAAGAAGAAAATCAAGAAGATTAAGCCCGTAGTTGAGTACAATAAAAGGGGCAGACCACAGAGCCAAAAGTGCCTTTTAAAAGGCCAACCACGTCTATTTCTATAAGCATACCGACATGGTAAGTAAAATAGCAATGTCGATAAATTGGATTTTATGGACGTATTGATGAGATTAACCACGATCATTAGTTTACACTAACCAAAGTTCAAACTTCGATCCATGGCAGTTTACCTCCATTGCACGCCGTGAAAATAAGTTTTTAATGACCGTGTTTAAACGGCATGGGTCATGGTTAAGGGAATGTTAAGTCCGTGTATAATAAAATGGTGCCATGTTAAAGACTTCAGACGTCAAAAAAAAAAAAACACAACCAAAAACATTGTCCATCTAACGTCCAAAAAGTCTAATTTTTTTGTTTTGTGTTTTTTTTTTTTTTTTTTTTTTTTTTTTTTTTTATTTGACTTCGGTTCTCGCAAGAATTCACCGTCGTATATTGGTAATAACTTTGTTCTTTTAACATATTATGACGTTAATATTTCTTTTGAACGTCGGTTCTTGACGTTTGCGATGTGGAATACATTTTACAAGGCGGTGTGTTCCTGGGTGGAGATGTGGTAGATGTTATAAGCGGCGGTGATTCTACCTTTGTGTCGTGGTTAATTTATTTTACTTCGGTTATGATATAATTCTTGACATGTAATATCCTTTAGATGTTTGTTCTTTTCTGTAAGCGTCGTCTAAGATTGTCGAAGTTTTCCTTTTTTACGTTTTTATAGAATTTAGAAGTCGGTTTTTTTATTTAGTAAACGTAGTATATATTAACCATGGCGGTTTCGACGTTTAAACGACAGTATTTTTTCAAATAGAGACGTGAGTAACTGTTTTTACGTCGGCAAGTGTATAGTTCTTGACATGTAACACTCTTTAGACATCTCTATGTTTCTAAAACCATCATCTAAGAATGTTGAAGTTTTCCTTTTTTGCTATTTATATAGTAATTAGATGGCGGTTTGTCTTTTGATATGACGTTGTATTCTTAACGACGTCAGTTATTTGCCGTTGTTGTTTTATGTATCAAAAGATGGCGGTCGATTTCACGACGGTTTAAAAACCTTATAGACGACGGTGGATTTCCGTCGTCTATTTCAATTTTTGTAGTAGTGAGCCAAATTTCTCTATGAGACTGGTAGATGTTAATTCTTTTGGAACCTGCTTGAAATGATGTCGTATGTTTCTAATCAATGTTTGATTAGGAATAGATCCCTTTCTCACATACGCTTGAGAGCAATTTTCTCCAATAATCTTTGGTTTTGCTCGTGTCATTACATTACATTTAGACAATGACCGAATGCTTAATGACCAAATATCGTCTAATAAAGTGATAATCAATTTTAACATGTTTTGTGTTTAGCGATATACAATGATTAAGGGTTAATGATGCAAAGAACTTATATTGTCAAACTTGAGATAAGCATGTGGTAGATGTGTTAATATATAGCTCCGATTATTAATTCCATGCTCACAAATCATTCATCCGATATAGTCAAGGGTGGATTTATGCCTACGATGGGGTGGGCTCTAGCCTAGGGGACGATTTCTAAATATTAAATATGATATAAATTTTATAAGTTTATTTCTACTCCAATAAATATTAGTCTACTGTACTGAATAAATATAATAAACTAATAATATCCCAATCTAAGTAAAGTAAATAATAGTTAGTTCTCTATTTAAAATAAGCTCACTCCTGAAGCATATAGGAAATAAAAAAACATCAATCCAAACCTATATAAAATTGATTAGAAGCAGAACTCACACTTAGGTTCTACCAACTTGAGCTATTCTAATGGTACTAATATTGGACTACACCCACAGAGAGCAAACATCAAAAGATTTATTCTAGCCACTCAAAACACCATATTTGGACCTTGAGAGCCTAGAGGAAATAGCTCTCCTCCTCTAAAAAATTGTACCAACCTATCTTCAGTGGGTTCTTCAATCTTGGTAAGTTTTTCTCTTTTTATTTATATTTATATATATATATTCAATTTCCAATTTTAATTGTTGTTAAGTTTTTATGATTTAGGGTTTGGTGAAATTTTTTGAAGATTATTGATATATATTTTATTTTTGCAACTTGAATTATTAATTAGCATATACGGTTTTTGGTGTCTAGTATTTCTTGTTAGGGTATCATGTCACATGATGATAATAGAGCGGCAAAATAGATGAAAAACTATTTATTCATTCTTCAAAAAAAAGTGATAACAATAACAAATCTAATGTTGATACTTCAATTCTTGAGGAACTTTTTGAATTCGGATCTCAAGTAGTTGAACCTAAAGAGTTTGATATTGCTTCTTTAGAATAGGATCCTGGGAAACGCATTCCAATTTGTGAACACCCAAGCAATCAACATGATGAGAATCGAAGGTCAAGCTCTCTAAATTTGTTTGCAATATCGAACATATTTTTTTGAAGTTGGACAATGTGTTTGATTTGATATTTATTTATATTTTGTACTTCTTTGTGTTATATTTATTTGTCATGTGACTTTGTTTGATTTATAAAATTTTATTTACATTTTTGTTTCAAGAGAAAAAGAGCTTATAATATATCTCCTCTAAAAAAAAATTTATTTAGCCTACCCCTATAAAAATTCCTAAATCCGCCATTGAATATAACGCTTTCCTAGTTACGCAAGAGAAATTTCAAATATCTTTCATAAATATCGCATGCTGAAGTTGTGCTGGGGGTAATAAGAGACCACCACACACTGATTGATTTAGTGTGTTTGGCATGTTTTTAGTGTGTTTGGCATGCACTAGCTACTTGCATTCATTTATATGACAGTGATATGATGACGTGTTTAATTCTGAATATATATTTTAAGAACCACGTTTTAAACGATTACATGATTGTCTGAATTTTATAATTCCTACGTTTTAAACGTTTGCATGACTTTCTTTTCTGGACGAAACGTCTTTTGGCTCTGCCCTTGTGAATGCTTCGTGAGTGGACTGCGGAGGGCCTGTCTTCAAATCTCTATCAGCAGCTGCCATCTGTGTTTTTCTATTATTTATTATCATTTGTTTGTTTTTATATTCAGAGTTCTTCGTGCTTCCAAATTTGAGAAACAAGATGGATAGAGGAGAGAATATAATTATTATTGAAGGAGGAAAACATATTTTATATATAATAATTAGATGAAACTTCACTTTGTCAATTTCTCTCTCCCACTTCAAAGTTCAATCTACGGTAACTTCCTTCTACACATGCATAGCATATGCTTAAATAATTGGGATGTGGATTGTGTCGGGTCGGCAACGACTATATAAGACATAAAATAAGAGCCATCGGTGTTTTTGAGCTACACATATAAACATACACACTTAGATAAATGAGTTTGAATAATGATAAAGTTAGTGCTACTAGCCATGAGCTTCTTCAAGCTCAAGCTCATGTGTGGAATCATATCTTCCAGTTCATAAACTCCATGTCATTAAAGTGTGCAGTTCAATTAGGCATCCCAGATGTGATTCACAACCATGGCCAACCCATATCCCTTTCCAATCTCATTTCCGGCCTCAATGTCCACCCTTCGAAGGCTCATTTCATCGCACGCCTCATGCGAATCCTCGTCCACTCCAATTTCTTTGCACAAGACCAGCAAGTTCAGCTACCACTTCTTCCAAACAATAATAACAACAATGAGAATATTGTTCTTCAGGATCTTGATGATGAAGCGGAGGAAAAAGCTGTTGTGGTGTATAGCCTAACACCAGCTTCCAGGCTTCTCCTCAAGGAAGGTCCATTAAGCACCACACAATTTTTACTTATGATTCTTGATCCAGTAGTGACAGATCCATTTCATCTAATGGGCACTTGGTGCCAGATGAACAATCATGGAAGTCATGATCATCCAGCTTCCCCATTTGAGATGGCACATGGAAGGCCTTTTTGGGGTTTGGCTGCTCAGCAACCAAAGTTTGGTAGCTTGTTTAATGAAGCAATGGAGGCTGACTCTCAGCTGATAGCAAGGGCAGTGGTTGAAGAGTGTGAAGGAGTTTTTGAGGGTTTGAATTCCTTGGTTGATGTTGGAGGTGGCACAGGAACCATGGCCAAGGCTATTGCCAAGGCCTTCCCCAGCATTAATTGCACTGTCTTTGACCAACCACATGTTGTTGCAAACTTGCAAGGGACTCACAATTTGGATTTTGTTGGAGGAGACATGTTTGAGAAGATACCCCCAGCAAATGCAATTTTCCTCAAGGTAATTATAAAACACAATTATTTCTCTCTCTTTTTTTATTCTTTAATTTCCTAATTAATTATTACCTTGTTGTTAGTAAACACACATCTCACCCTTGCCTTTGCAGAATTTTCCAAACTTGTCCTTGTTTTGCTTGGCTTTCAATTCGAGTTGTGTATTTAAGGAATTTTTATGGAGTTTAATAATACAACTCTGATCAAAATGAAAAGACAATCTTGTTGAAGAATGTAAAGTAACACATTGGAAACTTAGACAAAATGTATAAGATATGCCCTTTTATATAAACCCCACACCAGCTTAGACTACGTTGGTGGTTAATTTGAGGGTAATATCGATGTTTCTACTGGTCCGCGAGTCCGTCCCTCGATGAAATCTTAATAAACCTTACTATTCATAAATGAATTAGTAACAATGACATGTCAATCGGTGCATGTACAAAGTATATTAAGCAGGTACCATACACTAATTCTATGGACTGATGTGGTTGTGAGTATAAATTCAAGTCTTACTTTAAAGTAATTAACCATTAATTAATGCATGGCATCAATGATCAGTGGATTCTGCATGATTGGAGTGATGAGGAAAGCGTGAAGATATTAAAGAAGAGTAGAGAAGCAATTCTGAGCAAAAATGAAGGAGGAAAGGTTATCATCCTGGACATAAATGTGTCTGCAGATGATAAGGAGATGGATAAGAAATCAATTGAAACTCAGCTCATGTGGGATATGTTGATGATGGTCGACGTCAGTGGCAAAGAGCGTAGTGAAGCAGAGTGGGAAAAGCTCTTTCTGACTGCTGGATTCTCTCACTATAAGATTACACATACATTAGGCCTCAGGTCTCTTATTGAAGTTTACCCCTGAAAAAAAGCATCACTCTTTTAATTGTATGTTAAGTTCTTTCGAATTTCATGAAATAAGCCCTAAATCTATTTTGTCTCTTTTGGTGTGTATAAGCCTATATTATCTAAGTTTGGATGTTTCCTTCTTCTTTGTAATCCTTAAAATTTATAATTTAGTTCTTAAGAAATAAAAACGGTACGCAGTACCTCTCAGTCTAATAGTGTTTCTTAATGATGTGGAAGAAGTATTAAGTTCAAAACTCATCACCTCATTAGGAAAGTTTAAAAAAATAATAATTTGATGCCCCAGAAAGAAAAAGGATCCAAATGTATGATGGACCAATAAGACATACGGGCATGAATGAGAAACAGATTTCATGCTAATTCCAATCAATTTTTGGGAGTTATTAATTTAAAAAATAAATAGTTAACAACAATTGAAGCGTGGTTTCCTACGAATTTTCAAGGCATGAAAAGGACCATAGTCCACGTTTTGGCATTTCAGAAAACAAAAGCCTTGTGCAAGTTGTTAATAGAATAAACAGTGGGTAACAAACAACAAACATCTACAAGCAAAAACACATGTTTCCAAGAAAACCAATTGTTTATGCCATATCTGACTATCCAATCAATGAACAGAACATGGAACAAGGGACCCACAAACTTGATGATCTATTACGTCCCACAAAGTACCATCGGTAAGCGGCAAGCCTTCGGCAACCCAACCTGTTGATCGCAGCTAAAGACTGAGCTTAAAAGTAATTTCTCACAAAGACACGTGGTGCCTCCTCAGCCAATCCTCGCAATCCCACATCAAAATATCACTCAAGATGCACAGCCGTCAAAGTCTATAGATGTTAGAGCTACTTTCCCAAATTCATGGACTCTTAGAGTGACTGGCTTTTATGGTCACCCTGATCATACCTAGCGTCATCATTCATGGGAACTTATGTAGAATTAAGTATGGTGGATTATGGTCCTTGACTTTGCTGTGGAGATTTTAATGAGATTATGGAGTATCACGAAAAGAGTGGGGATCGCATTCAATGCAATGCTCTAATGGAGGATTTTAAAAATGCTATTTTCGATTGTCACTTAATTCAATTTGAGTTCACAGGGTATAAGTTTATGTGGAATAACAACTGGAAGGATGCAGCTAATGTGCAGGCTATTGGCGAGATCCTAATTCTATTAGGAGATTTATTTTCTATTCTGTTAGGATTTTATTTATTTCTCTTTTGTAAAATCTTGTGTAATTAGGAGTTTATTTGTTTGCTTGTATAACCATACTAAGGTTTACACAATTGTATTATAAATGCCTGCCTTTGGAGAATGAAAATATATCAGAAAATATTCTACCCCATAGGTATCAGAGCCGACTTTCTAGTAACCTCTGTGTTGTGCCCACATTCTAGCCCCATATTTTTCTCTACCTGTGCAGTGTGTGCCCTCTTGGGTTTGTGTATTGTGTTGTAGTGTCCGTTCCTCTACTGTGTTTGTGCCATTCTTGTTTTCATGCATCTGTCGTATTTGTATTTATGTTGTTTTCCGATGTGTACTCTGCCGTGTTCATGCCTCTACTGTGTTCATGTATGCCATTGTGTATCTGTCTTATTTGTGCCTCTGTTGTGTTTTGTTGTGTACTCTGCCATGATCTGTTGAGTTTTTGCTACAATGATGGGTGATAACTCCATTGTTGGTGTTGTTGTTGCTGTTTCTGCAAAGTTGTGTGTTTCTGACTCTATTCCAAGTACTGGCTCCAATACTTGGATAATTGACAGTGGTGCCTCTAATCATATGACTTATGATGCTAAATTTTTTGATGAGTTGCCTAGTAACACCCGTGACCCATACATAACTAGTGTTAATGGCTTGCCTTCTCCAATTACTGGCAATGGCACAATCTCTCTCAGTCCTACTCTGTCCTTGTCTCATATTTACTAGTTCCCACTATCCATTGTAATTTGTTATTTGTTGGTCGATTACTTCATACACTTAATGCTTCTACTACTTTCTATCCTATTCATTACTCTTTTCAGGATCTCAAGACTCACGAGACTATTGGGCATATTAAACGAATAATGGGGTTATATTATTTGACATTGTCTTCTGCACTAGTTCGTGATCTTGTCATAAATACTGTTCAAAGTTGCAATATCAAAGACAAACAACAAATGTGGTTATGGCATCGTCAATTGGGACACCCATCATTTGGCTACCTTAAGCGTATGTTTCCATCTTTATTTCGCTCTTGTGATGAGTCCAGTTTTAAGTATGAGACATGTATTTTGGCCAAAACCCATCACACTGTGTTTCCTTTGATTGACAGTAAAGTTGGAAAGCCTTTTAATTTAATGCATTTTGATGTGTGGGGTCCAACTCGCATTACTTCAAATGAATTTTGTTGGTTCGTCACATTTATTGATGATTGTACCTGACTCATTTGAGTTTTCTTGTTGAAAAATAAACATGATGTTGCTTCCATCAGCAAGCCTTCTAGGACTTAAAGCAGATTAAAGCTCTGCTAAATTTAGACTTTGTTATCGATTTCTAGCTGAAACTTATCAGTTGAAGGTGCTGACGCTCAATCCAGCCCAGTTCAAAGGCAGCAACCCAGGCAGAAATCGAAGTCCAATGTTCTGTTGTCTTTTTTGGACTTGGCATTTCTCTTTTAAGTTTTGTAATAGGCAATTCTTCTTAAACAAATTTTGCTCTCTTTTTATTTATTCTGAACAGAACTACCAATTTTGTATTGTGAATAAGTTGTGAAGTGTTCACTAGTCTGAGGCAAGAAAAAGAACTTACTTGGGAGATATTCCTCACCTAAATTCACAATTGCTTGTTTAGAATCAGTAACTTGGGGCGTAGGTTAATTATTTTTTAGAAGTCTGCTAAGGTTTTAACAGCTAGCAGTGGCATACTCATACACAAAAAAAAGTTGATTTGTTAATCACAAATGGTTTTCAAGTTAATAAAAAACTTTATCCTACAATCACATGATTAAATCAAAACCGGGTGAACACTTTCCAACTTATCGCTGTTTAATTTCAATGCTAGCTTTTGTAATTATTATTATATGTAATGTACACTTGATTTGAAACCACCATCTATTTCGTCATTCTCTTCTCCAGTTCTGCCTGCCTTCCCATCAATCAAATCTCTAGTCAAGAAAAAGCAACCCCATCATTCATGTCCTATGCATGATGGACCCTACCTTACAATTATCATACTTAACTTCTTCTTCTTTTTCTTTTTGGATTTCAAATTATGATAAAACACAGATGACAACTGCTGATAGAGATTTGAACGTAGGCCCTCCGCAGTCCACTCACGTAGCATTCACAAGGGATTAGATTATATGAGATTCGCTTGGCCCTTCTTTTGGTCCCCTGCAATTAACGTTGAAGTCTTTTAATTATGATCTTCCATATCAATTCTTAGTGGTACAACAGCGACCCGTAAGAATATTACTGTTAAATACAGTGACGCATGCAAGCAATATTAGATTTGGCATGAAACAGTACAGTCACGTATGTACTTAGAATTTAGAGGCCTTCAGATTATAGTTACTACATACACAATCAATGATGGAGCTATTAAGGCGCAAGGAGGTGCAACTGCATCTCCCATCACAAGAAAAGTCATTGTAGGTGCTGCATATTGCACATTTGCTTAGCCTAGAAGATGCAGTCTAGGTGTTCGACGAAAAGCCCGTTTCGTGGGCATTAACCTATTTCTATCTAGGACCTGCATATATAAAGACAAAAGGCTTTAACAAGGGCTTCTAAATCTAGGGTTTTTAATAACAAGGCTTTCTTTTTCTTCTACAACAATTGTAGTTTATTTGTAATGCTATTCTTTTTCTCTGACTTATGAATGATATTGGTATTGTCTAAATTATAAGGATATTTGATTGTCAATTTTTATATATAAAGCTTTTAGCCTTTCAAAATTGCACCTCCCTTAAGAAATTCATGGGTCTGCTAGTGTACACAATAAGAATAATATGTAAAGAAATCAACTTGGGTATATTTAAAAATCACGGACATAAGCCAAAATAAACTTGTATATATGGTTAGAATTAAGAGACTTTTTGACACAAACTATAACCCACTTGATTAGCTGTTAGATGAAACCATTTTGAATGATAGTTATGTTAAAAATGTTCAGTATTTGTCCCATATCGAAAATTTAAGGGACTTTACATGGGTTTATAAAGAGTTAGGCTACTTCGTTTATTGTCAATTAATTTTGGAGTAGAAACTCAAACTTTAGCCTACCCCACTGCCTGTCCTTCATCCAACAAACTGTTTTGAGTATTTCTCCACTATCTCTGTCATTAAGCCAACAAACTGTTAACTATTAGCTTTGGATCAATTTTAAGAATTCTTTTGGTTTCTCAATTTCTAGAAATTTCTATAATTTGATGCTTCATAAACCTTCTTGGTGTGGTGGCATGGAGTTTGGTTCTTTTTTGGCTGCAACGGGAGTTGGGTGTTTTGCTTACTTTGATCAAAAAGTGATGATATATATATTTAAAATGAATGAAAAGGGTTAGAAGAGAACTTAGATTAATATCTCTGAATATTTGAGGTTCTTCGTGCTTCCAAATTTGAAAAAGAAGATGGATAGAGGAGAGAACCGAGAAAGAGAAGAGTTTTTTTTCTCTGGGTAAGGAGAGAATATAATTATTATTGAAGGAGAAAAACATATTATTTATAATATTACGTGCCTATTTGGTATTGCTTATTTGGGGTGATAAGTGATTTTTAAAAAAATTTGGAAAACCCAACCCGTTTGGTAAACTATGAGAAAATCACTTATTATTAAAAATTGCTGTGAGAGAAAGCTATAAGAGAAAGCAGCTAATAAGGTGTTTTCATTTTCTGATTATGCAGGAATCAATTTCAAAGAGGCGCTGAGTTTAATGATTATGCAGCAATCATTTTTTAATTAGGTAATCCGTACCAACTGAAATTGATACTTAGGTGACGAGGGGTAAACTTAATCACATAAACAAGACACAACAACACAGCTAGCTTCACACACTTTAAACCTTGACCAAATACACATATGACTAGTCAACTACTAGTCAAGAAACAATCACAACCAATAGAATACACAGAGCATGCCACAATGTACCTGCAATCCTAGAAGATTACTAGTGACAACCTATGCACTCAGAAGGACCCATCAATCTAGGCATCCCCTGTGCTAGCAACAACTATGGTGAAAGTGTGTGAAAACATCATTATCATGTAAACATCAAACAGCAGATACAGATGACTAGTCAACCACCAAGAACACAAACCCAGAAAAATTACAGATATGCAAAACAGATTTTGTTCACCCAGAAACCCACCATTGGGAAAAACTGGGAGTCATCAACCGACCAGGCAATCCACTAAGTAGAAAAAGATTCTTACAAAGGAAACACAACCAAGCTCAAGAAGCACCTAGGTCTATTTAGGAATATGAGCAATACCTCCTTTGTGCAATCTTCTTCTCCAACTTAGCAAAGCTTGAAGCTCAGTCCTTCATGGCAATGGCAGCTTCTTCTCCAGCTCGTTCATCCCATGGCACTAGCTTGCAAGCTCAACACAAACCGAAACCAATTTGGATTCAAAGGAGAAAGATCAATTTCTTCAAGAAACCATACTCTTGAAGAAATCAATCTTGAATCCGACCTAGATATAAATGATAGAATGATTTAAATAGCTAGATGCAGATTCGTGTTTCAAATGCAGTTTTTCAAAAAGAAATCAATTGGAAAAACTCATAGATGAAATAATGGTTCTCTCGTGGAAGAAGAAGCGAAAGATGGCAAGCCAAACTTTCCAAAACTTCCACCCGAAAAGAGACAGCTGCCAAATGAGAAAGATCGTGGGCTATACAGACCAACGAAATCGTTAGGTCAGCCAAACCCACTTGACAGCAGAGAGAGGAAAGAAGAATAGGACAAAACAGTTTGTTATCCAGCTGGAGGCAAGGATGACTAGTCATATGAGAAACGGTTGACTAGTCATCTTTTTATGAAAACAGTTTTATGTAATGATATGCAATGCTCAATACCTTTGTCAACTTGCTTGAGCCACCATAGAGCAGAGAATAGAGAAGAGCACCAATAAATGTTTTCCCTAATCTAGACTTGAGCTTGATAAATTACATTACACATCCTATTACAAAGTTGTCAAGGGAAGCCAAAAGAAATTAGTAAAAACCATACATTAACAATCTCCCCCTTTTTGGCTTTCCTTGGCAACACACTCTCTAAGAACACTCAACCCAAAACCGAGACTAAGGAGATGATGAAGTGAGGGTACCTGCAAGAACAACCAATCTTCCCAGCACAAAAACAAGCATATTATCACAGAAATTTTTAAAAACGATATGCGATGTGGGGTTGAGAGTGTTCTCCCCCTTGTTGATAAGGAAAGTGCAAAAAGGCAGAGAGATAGAAACAACAGATAAAAGGGATTAACCACAAAGTGATAGGCATATAGGAACAAGGATAACAGCACATGTTCATAGATGGATGACTAGTCAACCAACAATAGTTTAAAAACAGTACAGACCATAGAGTTATGACTAGTCAAATACCAGTTGTTCAAAATAGGACAGAACAACTCCCCCTATCACAATGCATAGACTACCCATAATGTGTTTACAAAAACAATCCCTTCTAGCAAAATGCACAGACTACTCACAATGAGATTACAAAACACCTCCCCTTTTCAAAATGTACAGATTTTCCTATCTAGGACACAGCCAAGAGAACACCAAGCTAAAAGATCAAAGAGCCACCAGAATCCACAGAGTCATCCGAGTCCTCATCAGTGGCAGGAGCAGACTGAGGATCTGCAGCAGCAGCAGCAGCAGGAGGTGCCGGAACCGAAGTGGATGGAATAAGGGTCAAAAGATGTTGGATATACTCCTCCTTGGCAGCCAACTGAGCTCTGAGAGAGGCATTCTCAGAGGAAGACGACACAGAAGTGAGAAAGGTCCTGGAAACTCTCTGGCTAAGGGCAGCAGAGGCCTTGCCATAAGGAGCAATGGGGGGGGTGCCACTGATCGGAATCAAGAAATGCCACCCCATTTTTCTCACAAAGGCGCTGAATCAGACAGGGGAACACAAGAGTCCCCTTGTGCTTGGTACCATGACCAATGGTTTTCCCAAGAATGGCATTATATAGGAGATCACCAAGGGGAATTTTATCATGATTCACCATGGATATCATGAGTTGGCAGGCAGCAAGAGTAGGATTAGAATTGTTCCCAGTGGGGAGAACATTATGACGAATAAAATCCCACAAAAATTTATAAAAAGGGGACAGGTAAGACTTGATAGGCAGACCTTTAGAAGTCAAAGGCAAAGATTGATCAGTGTATGCCATGGATTTAAAAAGATCAACAGAGTATTCAGCAGAAGCAAGAGTAAATTTTGCAAAATCAAAACCAGGGCATGATCGAAAGCCTAAGACCCGATTGATAACAGATGGTTTCAGAGTAATGGGTACTGACCTAACCAAAATCTGATATTTTGACCCCTTAGGGTCAGCAGGAAAGTTAGAGTAAAACTCTTGAACAACAGGGATGTTAAACTTACCAGAGAGAGAATTTAGGGCTTGAAGGTGGTAGTGCTCCAAAATCTGATTTGCAGACTCCTGAGCCGCCAAAGGAACAGCATCAAATTGATAAGTCCTCTCAGGAATGAATTTCCTCTTTGAGATAACCTTATCAAAGAAGGAGGCAGCCTCAGAGGACACAAAAGAAGAGGAATCTTCAACAGGGACAGAGGAAGAAGAACGGGTTCGAGGAACCCTAGGAATTGACGGATTGAAATCCACCCTGTCAGGGGATTTTGATTTGGAGCGACGGTGGTAAGTGTGGAGAGGCTTGGAGGAAGACATGATCAGCAGCGGGAAGAAAATTGGAGGAGAAAAAAAAACACCAGGAAGAAGGGACGAAGAGACCAGAACAAGGAGAGAGGGAGAGACGAAGTCGAGACTGACGAGAACAGAGAGAGAGATAGGAGGCAAAAGAAACTGACGAAGAAGGGAAAATAAAAGACCTAAAAAGGAAAAAGGCGCAAACGACACGACCTAAAAAAAAGAACCGCTCAGAACCAAAAATGGAAAAAATAACCGCCAAAACGAAAAATGAAAAAGACGCAATGTTTAGGAAACAAAGCGGATGACTAGTCAACCACAAGCAAGATGACTAGTCAACCCAGGCAAAAGTGGCACAGGCAGAGACGGATGACTAGTCAACCACAAATATGATGACTAGGCAACCACAAATATGATGACCAGTCAACTAATGCAATATGAGAAGGAACAGCAAGGCAAAACACCCAGATGACTAGGCAACCATAAGCATAGATGTCTTAGGCAACTAAACCAGCATTATGACACACACCAAATAATATCGACCCTGTGAAAGACATGATTTTGGGTTATTTTTTATTTGGTTATTTTTAAATTTGAAGCATGAACCAGCACATATATCAAGTGACCAAGGTGGCATGAGCACAATAGTCTAAACCAAGTCTTCAACACATGAAGAAAAGAGATGAAAAGGAAGAATAGTTTAAAGACATATGCAGTGTACATAGACAATCAACTCTGAGAGACACGCAATGAGATGCAATTCATGCTCAGAGACAAGGCATATTTAGGAAAGAAGGAGGTTTAGAGCCAAGGGACACAAGAGATGATATCTAATCTCTCTTGGAGAGACACGTATACACTGCATTCTTAAGACATGATCATAGTATGGGCTCACAGCAAAAAATCAGCACTCTCTATGGACAAAATATTTGATGATTGAGTTTGTGGTACTTGCACATCCCGAACATAAGTGCTTAGAATGGCCCAATTTTACGGCTCTTTGCTCTAGATTCTTCAATCAAACCACCTTATACCTTCCTAGAGCCGTGACTACATTGGTCACACTTCCCTTTTTTTTTTTTTTTTTTTGTTTTTGTTTTTTTTTTTTTTTGTTAAAATTTGAAATAGATTGGCAAAGAGAGTGAGACCAGCTAAGAGAGAATAACAAGAACAGTCCCAAAATGAAGCCGAGATACATGGCTCACCAAGAGGACAAGATAGCAAGATTTTGGTCTCAACTTATAGCTCAAAAACAAGAAAAAGGGATTATGCACAAGTCAAACAAAGCACAAAAACATTCAGCATGCACACCAGCAGAGATGAGTGATATGAACAGTAACATAGTGGACTAGGCAACTTACAAGCAAGATGATAGTCAACTGTTTGGAAGTGTGCTGAAGACAAGGGGCAGACTAGCTAATCAATCAATGGAACAAAGGCCAATGGATTGCCTTAGTGTACCATGTTTCTGAAAGTCCAAGGCCTTGGTGAGTATATCTGCTAGCTGTTTTTCAGAGGGAACAAATTCCAAAGTTAAAATTTTGTCTTCCACAAGGTCTCTAATAAAATGGTGCCGAATGTCGATATGCTTAGTCCTAGAGTGTTGAACAGGATTTTTGAAATATCTATGGCACTCATGTTGTCACAATAGATTAGAAAACATGATTGAGCAAGACCATAGTCTTCCAACATTTGTCGCATCCAAAGGAGTTGAGTACAACAACTCCCAGCGGCAACATACTCTGCTTCAGCAGTGGATAAGGAGACAGAATTCTGTTTTTTGCTATGCCAAGCAACAAGATTGTTGCCTACATAGAAAACCCCCCCGGGAAGTGCTTTTCCTATCATCACTACAACCTGCCCAATCGGCATCACTATACCCAACAAGATTGACACAAGTGTCATAGGTATACCACAACCCAAATTCACTAGTCCCACTCACATATTTTATAATTCTCTTAACAGCAAACAAGTGAGACTCTTTTGGGTCACTTTGAAACCGAGCACATACACCAACACTAAAAGAAATGTCAGGTCTACTAGCAGTCAAGTAGAGAAGACTTCCTATCATGCTTCTATAGAGAGTTTGATCCACACTTTTGCCATGCAAGTCTCTATGAATCTTAGCACTAGTGCTCATTGGGGTTCTTGCAGATTTGGCTCCTTCCAAACCAAATTTTGTCACAAGATTTTTTGCATATTTAGATTGGGATACAAAGATCCCATCATGGCTCTGTTTAATTTGGAGACCTAAGAAATAATTAAGCTCACCGACAAGACTCATTTCAAATTCACTAGTCATGACATGAATAAAATCTTGAACATGCAAATCAGATGTAGAACCAACCACAATATCATCAACATACACTTGAGCAATCAAGACATCCTTTTTAAACCTTTTCACAAACAATGTTTATCAACGGACCCTCGAACATACCCATTTCCTAGAAGATGAGAGGATAACCTTCATACCATGCTCTAGGAGCTTGTTTTAAACCATAGAGAGCCTTTTTTAAACGAAACACATCATTTGGATGATGTGGATCTTCAAAACCCTTTGGCTGCTCAACATAGACCTCTTCATTTAGGACACCATTTAAAAAAGCAGTTTTGACATCCATTTGATAAAGTTTAAATTTCAAATGACAAGCAATGGCAAGAAGCAATCTAACTGATTCTAATCGTGAAACAGGGGCAAAAGTTTCATCAAAGTCAATGCCTTCCATTTGAGTGTATCCTTGAGCAACCAATCTAGCCTTATTTCTCACCACATTACCTTGTTCATCGTTTTATTCTTGAAAATCCACTTAGGCCTATGACATTAGGGTGGAATGGTCTTGGAACACAAGGTACAAACATCATTTCTCACAAATTGATTTAATTCTTCCTGCATTGCAAGAAACCATTCACCATGGTGCAAGGCTTCTTTCACATTTCTAGGCTCTTCCTTGGAAACATAACACACATGGCTAAATTTCTTGAGCAAGTTGTTTCCTAGTTCTCACTCCTGATTAAGAGGGCCAATAATGACACTCGCAGATGGTGAGAGAACTATGATCAGTATGAGAGCTGTCAGCCTGGACAGAGGAGATGGAACTAGAAGTTGAAGGGGTTGACAGGTCAACCGGGACAGAATTTTCAAAAGTTGACAGGTCAACCACAAGATCCAGACCTGGAGATTCTTGCACAAGTGAGGAGGAGGAAAAAGACCATCCTCATCTATGTGCATCTCTTATAGAGGCAGCAAATCATCAATAGTGACATTTAGGATTCAATGATGGTTCTGGACCTACAATTGTACACTCTATAGGCTCGGCTAGAAGTGGAATATCCTAGAAAGATTCCCTTATCACACTTAGAATCAAACTTAGCAAGATGCTCCCCTATCTCTCAAATATAGCATGTGCTACCCAAAGACCTTAAAATATGACACATTAGGCTTCTTTCCTTTCCAAATCTCATAGGGAGTTTGTTTGGTACCAGACCTCACAAATACCCTGTTTGAGATGTAACAAGCTGTATTGACAGCTTCAGCCCAAAAGTGTTTAGCAAGATTTTTGCTATTAGCATCAACCTTGCCATCTCTACAAGCACTCTATTCTTTCTCTCCACAACACCATTTTGCTGAGGTGTAATATGTGCAGAGAACTCATGTTTAATTCCCATCTCTTCACAAATTTCAGAAACTGAGAATTCTCAAATTCAGAGCCATGGTCTGTTCTAATTCTAACAAGAGGCAGATGACTGTCATCTTCTCTTTTTGCAAAAGATGCCAAACGACTTAAACCTTTGAAAAGTTTTCAGATTTTCACGTAGAAATGAGACCCAAGTAAACCTAGAGAAATCATCAACCATGACAAGAATATATTTCTTTCCACCAGGGCAACGGTTTGAATAGGACCACCAAGGTCCATGTGAACAAGTTCTAGAATTACTTTGTTTGAATGTGTTTGACCTTTTTGTGTGACACTCTGACCTGTTTGCCTAATTGACATCCTTCACAAACATGCTCATCAGATTTTTCCCAGCTTTGGTAAGCCACTTACTAGCTCTCTCTTGGACAACTTATGCAAGTCTCTAAAATTAACATGTCCAAGCCTTTGATGCCACAAAATACTTGTTTCATTTACAACCTTGTTGCAAACTATTTCTTTTGCATCGTTGACACCCATCAATGCGAAGCAATTGTCCCTAGACCTTGCCACGCTCACAATCTCATTTCCACCTTTTCCAATGATTTTGCAGCCATGCTTGGAGAATCTGACTTCTACTATTCCATCATCACACAGCTGACTCACACTAATGAGATTGGATGTGAGACCCTCAACAAATCTAACATTCTTAAGCTCGGGCAGACCAGGGATACAAACAGTACCTTTTCCAACAACTTGAGATCTATGACCTCCACCAAAAGTCACAGTGCCTCCATCAAAGGGGCTGAGAGATGAAAAACATTTTTATCTCCAGACATATGTTTTGAACAACCACTATCAAATACCAAGAGTTGATATTTGAAGCAGCAAAAGCATTTAGCACAACAAGAGATTTGGTATGACCTCTTGCAATCCAAGTAGACTTAGGCACAATAGGGGAACTCATTTTGAGGGAGACAAGTTTGGCTATCTTAGTGACCTCATTCAGCAAATGATCAACTTGATCTTGCAAAGATCTGGATTCCTTTTAGATTTTGGAGACAATTTTCTGGTCTTATCTTTGCTATACATATGACAGACTGGTCGAATATGACCAGTCAACCCACACCTGTGACAAAGTTGGAACAAACTTAGGTTTCTTGACAACCTGCTGAACATCAAGAGGAATCGTGACTGGATTTTCTTTCTGATTGACAAACTTAGTGGTAGAACTAGACAACTAGAACCAAAGTGATTAAATCCAAGACCACCTTTGTCCCCATGAAGTTTTCCCATATTCAACATTTTGTCAATTTTTGAAGCACCAATGGTCATAGATATAATCTTCCTATTTGCTTCATTCAATTCACCTAGGAGCTGTTTGTTTGAGTTCTGGAAACCAATGTTACTTTCCTTGAGCACATTAACTTGGTTTCGAGGTTACTCCTAATTGACACAAGAGCATCAATTTCTTTTTCTAGAGACTCAAATTTGTCACTCAACTCCTTTTTGGTTTTCTTTTAAGATGAGAATTTCATTTTGAAGATCTTGTTTATTTGCCTCAAGTTTGAGGCTCTCTTCTTTCAAGGACAAGGTCTCTTTAAACAAACAATCATATTTTCTTCCTAATGACTCGTATGACAGGTCATCTGACTCAGAATCAGATTCATCAGACATGGGCTGTACAGAGGCAACAAAGGCAACATGTTGGTCATCATCATCAGAGGAAGATGAATCATCTTGAGAGCCTTCACTTTCACTCTCACTCCAGCTCACTTTCATGGCCTTGTCCTTTCCTTTGGAGTATTTTTTCTGATTGTTTGCACAGTCAGCAGCATAGTGCCCAATGCCTCCACATGTGAAGCACTTGACAGATTTTCTAAAATCTTTCGTGAAAGGTTTGACATCCTTATTCCTCTCATTAAACCGATCAGTTGATGGTCTAAAATTTTCTCACTACCAGAGCTGCCGTCTCTAGCAAACTTTCCCTTATCCTTAAGAATTCTCCTAAATTTTTTGACAAACAAAGCCATCTCATCCTCAAAACCTGAGGATTTATCACCACCTTTCGGAGACGAAACATGCACTCCTTGAAGTGCAACATTTTTTGATTTTTTGGAGTCATTCTCTTCCATATTCAATTCCATCTCATAGGTTTTCAATTTTCCTACAAGCTTGCCAAGCTTAATTTCATTTAAATTTTGGACCTCCATGATTGCGGTTTTCTTTGCTCTAAACCTAGATGGTAGAACACGAAGAATTTTCTGAACAACAAGAAGCTCTTCAATGGGTTGACCTAGACTCATGGCTTCATTTGTGATCATCTCAACTCTTCCATAGAACTCAGAAATGGACTCAGATTCAGACATTCTAAGTTCTTCAAATTGTGCAAGCACCATCTGAAGTTTTAGGGTTCTAACTTGGTCATCCCCTTCATGAACTACCCTTAGTTTATCCCAAGCTGGTTTAGCATTAGGGATGTGCTGTATATGTGCAAATTGTGTGCTAGACAAAGCTGTAACTAAGGCATTTCTGGCCTTCTTGTTCGAATATGCAGCAAACACCTCAGCTTCAGTCCATTCTGACCTAGGCTTGGACACAAGTTCACCCTCAACAGTCTTGACCGGAGCAACCCACTCTTTTGTGAGATACCCACTTGCATACTCATCAAGAGCATCAAGGAATATCTCAAATTTTTTCTCCATGCAGCATAGTTATTGCCGTCAAAATAGGGAGGGGAGTTGCAAGATCCAGCAACTCGATCCCTTTCCATAGTGAGCACACCTAAACACCAAAACAAATCCTAGGATCTCTCTATTTTTGTTAAGAGCTGACGCTCTGATACCAATTGAAAATGATACTTAGGTGACGAGGGGTAAACTTAATCACATAACAAGACAACAACAACACAGCTAGCTTCACACACTTTAAACCTTGACCAAATACACATATGACTAGTCAACTACTAGTCAAGAAACAATCACAACCAATAGAATACACAGAGCATGCCACAATGTACCTGCAATCCTAGAAGATTACTAGTGACAACCTATGCACTCAGAAGGACCCATCAATCTAGGCATCCCCTGTGCTAGCAACAACTATGGTGAAAGTGTGTGAAACATCATTATCATGTAAACATCAAACAGCAGATACAGAGACTAGTCAACCACCAAGAACACAAACCCAGAAAAATTACAGATATGCAAAACAGATTTTGTTCACCCAGAAACCCACCATTGGGAAAAACTGGGAGTCATCAACCGACCAGGCAATCCACTAAGTAGAAAAAGATTCTTACAAAGGAACACAACCAGCTCAAGAAGCCCTAGGTCTATTTAGGAATATGAGCAATACCTCCTTTGTGCAATCTTCTTCTCCAACTTAGCAAAGCTTGAAGCTCAGTCCTTCATGGCAATGGCAGCTCCTTCTCCAGCTCGTTCATCCCATGGCACTAGCTTGCAAGCTCAACACAAACCGAAACCAATTTGGATTCAAAGGAGAAAGATCAATTTCTTCAAGAAACCATACTCTTGAAGAAATCAATCTTGAATCCGACCTAGATAAAATGATAGAATGATTTAAATAGCTAGATGCAGATTTGTGTTTCAAATGCAGTTTTTCAAAAAGAAATCAATTGGAAAAACTCATAGATGAAATAATGGTTCTCTCGTGGAAGAAGAAGCGAAAGATGGCAAGCCAAACTTTCCAAAACTTCCACCCAAAAGAGACAGTGCCAAATGAGAAAATCGTGGCTATACAGACCAACAAATTCGTTAGGTCAGCCAAACCCACTTGGCAGCAGAGAGAGAGAAAGAAGAATAGGACAAAACAGTTTGTTATCCAGCTGGAGGCAAGGATGACTAGTCATATGAGAAACGGTTGACTAGTCATCTTTTTATGAAAACAGTTTTATGTAATGATATGCAATGCTCAATACCTTTGTCAACTTGCTTGAGCCACCATAGAGCAGAGAATAGAGAAGAGCACCAATAAATGTTTTCCCTAATCTAGACTTGAGCTTGATAAATTACATTACACATCCTATTACAAAGTTGTCAAGGGAAGCCAAAGAATGTAAATTAAAAAAAAAAAAAAAAAAAAAAAAAAAAAAAAAAAAAAAAAAAAAAAAAAAAAAAAAAAAAAAAAAAAAAAAAAAAAAAAAAAAAAAAAAAAAAAAAAAAAAAAAAAAAAAAAAAAAAAAAAAAAAAAAAAAAAAAAAAAAAAAAAAAAAAAAAAAAAAAAAAAAAAAAAAAAAAAAAAAAAAAAAAAAAAAAAAAAAAAAAAAAAAAAAAAAAAAAAAAAAAAAAAAAAAAAAAAAAAAAAAAAAAAAAAAAAAAAAAAAAAAAAAAAAAAAAAAAAAAAAAAAAAAAAAAAAAAAAAAAAAAAAAAAAAAAAAAAAAAAAAAAAAAAAAAAAAAAAAAAAAAAAAAAAAAAAAAAAAAAAAAAAAAAAAAAAAAAAAAAAAAAAAAAAAACTTGTAATTTATCACCCTACAAGAAAATTTATAAATTTGCTGCTACAGGGCAAAAATATGTGAAAGACTCCAATAATTATGACGAAAAAAGTGAAAAAAAATTAATACGAAAAACCAGACTAGTTCTCACCAAAAAAATAAGACCATACTAGCTAAATATAATTTTTATTTATAAAAGCTAACACAAAAACTGAACTAATTACCAAAATTCTTTATTACTTAATTAAAGCATACAAAAGCTAGGGATATATGACAATCCCTTATTAATTATTCATTAAAGATAAGAAAAGAAAAAGGATGGAATGCTCTACGGAGCACTTTCACCTCTACGGGGGAAGGGCAACGGAAATTACTATTCACTTTAATTTATTTCTCTTTTTATATTTAAACATTTAAGTTTGATAAGATTTTTGGTTGCCACTATTTATTATAAATTCTCATATCAAATTTCAGATAAAATTTTCGAATAAGATTTTCAGATAATTTTCGAATAAAATTTTGGATAAGATGTTTGGTTTCTACGTGTCCATATTTATTATAAATTCACATCTCACTCATCATACATTGAAATACTCCCGTCCTCATAGTTTGACACATCGAGTCATTGGCAGAGGCGGTTTCCACCGGATCATGACGTGGGGAGTATTTTCCTTTGGATGACTAATAGTGCCATTATTTGGACACCGAATGCACCACAAGAACCGACTGCGGACATTATTCACTTGAGGAGGCATGTGTGGAAAATGAAAAAATATTGGAAGGAGAAGAATTTGTATGAAGATTTGGTGTAGAAGTGAATACTATTGGTAGGTATTATAGAAAAAAATTCCAAATTTTTTTCGATTTTTTTTAGCCAAAAAATGGGCGACCATTGGATTGGACGAGATTTTCGAATCGGAGCCTCCAGAGAAGTCACATGGCTTGTAGCCGTTGGTTTTGGCAGCACTGACACAATGCTGGCATCAGCATTGACGTAATCTGCCCGAGGCTAAGGCCAAATCTCTCCATGGGCTTGCCCAAGCTCGTGGGTCCCACGCCTTGTCCGGGTTGGGTCTTGCACACTGGAGCTTCCTTCCTAACCTAGGACCCCCCCTCTTGCCTAGGCTACACCCTTGCGGTGGGCTTGCTCTAAGAGCCTCCACAGTGAGAAGGTGTATAATGAGGTGTATGTTAAATATACACTTTTTGTAATCGGAATCACCCTCAATGGAGAGGTATAAACGAGTGTAAATTTGCATTACCACCATGAGATGCAAATTTAGATGCACATATACATCTTTTTTTACGTCTCTTGCAGGTGGGACCTACATGAGAAAATGTGAGAAAAAATGGACAAAAGTGGGACCTACAGCAGAAAAGGTAAAAGAAATCAATTATACATTTTTATATTTATATTTTCCCACTTGAGCAAAAATCACATTTACAACCCCCAGAAATATAAAGAGAATGTAAAAATGACTTACACCCCAAAAATATACCTCCCACTGTGAATGCTTTAAGGGGGTTTGAACCCCTTACCTCCAAGCTGAACGCGAAGTAAAACTTATTGTTGTTTTAATTTCATATAACTACTATATATAACGGGTTCCAAGGAAGGAAAAAAAATTTAAAACTCTTCATGCATGCCTTCTTCCCACTCTCTCTCTCTCTCTCTCTCTCTCTCTCTCCCCCTCCCTCTCTCTTTTTTCTTTCTTCTTTTTCTTCCTCTCTCCCTCTGTTTCTTTGGCCAACCATCCAGCCATTGAGGGTCACATTTCTTCTCCCCAAGCCATGGTTTCTGGTTTGCAGGGGTCAATTTGCCTCAATGCGGATCCGCCCCTTCAAATGCTAGTGGAGGTTGCGACGGAAAGGGCGACTTTGACTCAATTGAAAGTTGAGGGGAAATGTTTAGAGCATCAGAAACAAAGCTAGGAGACTACTATAGCATACGATGCGAAAACAAAATATAAATGAAATCCTAATGGAAAGTTTCAACTTGAACTAGGTCCTTGAAGTGTTGGAGTAGGTCCTCCATGCTCATGACTGTGACATCGGCCTTATCTCTAACCCTTATGCGCGCTAACCTGAAACCATAAGAGGATCAAAGATTAACTTTCCCACTAAAAAACTTCACGGCAGACTTTAACTTAAAACAAAGAACCATGTCTCTCTCTCTCTCTCTCTAGATCTCAATTAGAAAATTAGGGAAAAAAAATTGGACCTGTCCATTTTGAACTTCCTCCGGATCGATAGCTAAAATGTAGTTGTACTGTGCCATCTGAGTTTGTCGTACCAGCAAACACAAGAACAATATCAGTAAACAAACACAAGGCTGGGTTAAACAAGGTTTGCTTCAGGTATTATGTCTCGGTTCAGCAAAGAAATCGACAATGTCGGAGCCATATTCATAACGAAAATGAATGGGGTGTTGCCCTCACTATGTTCATGCAGTGCAAGAGAGACTGAATCTTTAGGCTCATCAGAATGGTATTATAACAGGCCTCTCCATCTTGCCATCTTCACCCTCCGCTGAGTAATACAGCTTAAAGCAATCGGGAATCAAGTTGCAACCACAGCTTTTTTCCAAAATGGTAACAGCAACAAGATGAAAACGTCAAGAGATCATGAAACGAAAAAAAAATGCGATCATCATATAGCTGTAATGTTGCTAACTGATGATCTCTGCTCAATGCATCAGTACAGTGATATCTATTCAATTCAGTCCATAAAATGCACCATCCCCTTCATTCACCTGCGCATGCAACATGACTAACGATGTAAGCACGTCCAGACACATACAAGAAATTCTGGGGGCCCAACTGTAGTGCTTTAAAACGTACAGATAATGGACCAAAACAGCAACACCAATCATAGAATTTGACCATTCTATCCTCACCAGTGAATTAGTAGAGAAGAAACTGGGTTAGATACTCCAATCCAATCCAATCCAATCCATCTGGCTCAGTTCCAGCTAAGTCAATTATGAAAACTGCACTGACCGAGCTTCGTCAAGTTTTAACCCACTGAGTTTTTAATCCGGTTTTTCATCAAAAGACCAAACACATTAATCTTAGATATCATTTCATTCGAGATGCTTTGCAAGAACGTGTGGTGGATTTGAGATATTGCAAGTTTGAAGAACAAGTAGCTGATATATTTACAAAAGCATTGCCTAAGGATCGGTTCAACTACTTCAGAGGTTTGCTGGGAGTTAAACCAGTCAACAATTTAGAAGGGAATGTTGAAATGTAAATTCTTTACTGGTTTTAGTTTTAGTTAGACAAGTCTAGGGTCTAGATGAGATCTAATTTTGTAAGACTCATATGTCTAGAGTTGTGCCAAGTTTCAAGCTTATATTGCTGACACATTTGTAAGGCTATGATACATTCTCTGCCCATGTAAAAGAGAATGTTTCTGTTAGAAAGTGTGAGCATGTTTTGAAAGGCGAGGCGTTGCGAGGCTTTTTAGTCGTGCTATACAAGGCGTAAACCTTGAAGCAGTGAGGCGTGCACCTTTTGAACATTAATTTATTTTAATAAGAAAAATTTATGAATAATACAATATAATTAAATTGTACAACTAATTCTTGTTGAACCATAACAATCTTTTAATATAATCAAATATAAGTACTAATTGTCATTCAAAGCATACTTGAATGCGCATCTCAAGTATTTTTTTTCCCCTCTATTTCTTTTGCATACTTCCACTCACGATCTTTTTGATTCATAACTATAAACAACATCATTATAAGTCCACGTGTTAATAAAATTTTATGGAACTTCAAATTACAGTTGCGAAGAATTAGAGAGAAAAATAGAATGGCTTACTCTTGCTAGTCTAAAGATGAAGAGAATTCTTGAAATTGATGGAGATTATCTAGTAAGGGTAGAAATTAGGGTTGTACTATACAATATATATATATATATATATAAGTCCATCTGCTAATATATTAATTTAGAAAAAGAAAAAGAAAAAAAGGTAAGTAGAATAAAGGCTACAGCCGGCTGGAGTTGGAATATTTCCAGATAGCTTTATCTTAGAATCTATAGCATTTTGAGCACCACCAACAAATGTGGCCATTTTGTGCACAAGATCACATGGTGATAGAAGTGGGCAATAACAATCATGGAAACAAAATGAAGCTAAGAACATTTTACTTCCACCATTAAATCAGTGTAAATTTATCATCAAAGCTGTAATAGGGTACATAATCACTTTTTCTTTTTCTCCCCAACAAATCAGTATTGTTGTATCTCATCACAGCCAATCATGTCCTCCACAGAAAAAGGTTCTGGATACAGAGGCACACAACCATGGTGACTGAATATTGGCAGATCCAATGAAGCACTCGCAATAGACTTACATTCCTTGAGTGTTTCTGCATCCATGGATGTAATTTCCTGCAATACATGCATAGTTTTGCTTAGAACATATACTAATTTGACTAATGATACATTCATTGCATTAAAAAACAAAATAACAAAATATCAATATCAATAAGAATTTAATGTTTGTTATACTTCATGAGCCGAAACCCCAGGCCAATTCAGTCACAGAGTTTGACTTGAACATCGTGAAAGTGGTTTCATGGATTCAGATTAGACGCACTACTCAACAAAAGAACAGAGCAGTACATAAACTAAATGATGGCCTCCATATCTTTGAACTGTATCAGTTTACAAACATGCTATTACCTTATTCGATCCCCGGATGTAGCCGACAAGCAGCAGTTTCATTTGCTGTTTGGATATACAGCAATTGTTTCCATCAACTGTATATATTTGCTAAATCAAAGGGCAAAAACATCTTCATCAATATAACTTTTTGAATTGATAAAAACATAGTGCATATCAAAATGGAACTAACCGCATCCATGCAAACTTAGGAATCAACATAGAAATAACTTGTTTTAGATAAAGTTGGAAGAAAGCAAAACAGAATCACTTTATAAAATGGCCAGTTGGTAAGCTAATTCTTTTCAACAGATTCCAATTACAGAATTAATATACAGATTGAATGAAATTAACTAGTTAGGGTAGAATACTCACAATGTTTTTATTAGGAGAACAGGAACTGTAATCTAATCCAATTCCAACCACAACTCTGTAGGTCTTCTCCATATCAGCTACAGCCCAACCAAAGAAAACTCCCCAAACTTGGTCAGGGAGAGTTGATCTTCCATCCTCTGGTTATTTTTAGAGTTTTGATTAAGTTCAATACAAATTTGCACAAATCTTAACCATAAACTTAGAATGTATTAAACTCCTGCTCAGTCAAACAACTTGATGAACAGATATATTACGTCATGCTAAGTTATGTAATAAAAAGATTCACCAACCTGTGACTTCACCGACAAACCCATTGACATTGAGACCACTGAAATAAATTGGTTCAATTGGCAGTGCATTATCTACCCCTGCAACCATTAACTGACCAATTATTGAACAGGGAAGGAAAGCCCCATTACCAATTACATGCAAATATTTGAAGAGAGATATACAGTCTTCAAATGGAGGAAGACCCCAATGCTCAGGCTGAAACTCCAAAAGCGAATGAAGCACAGTATTTGCAAGGGAAGAACAAGTAGCTTCACCACGAGGTGGAACAGCCACTACCTCCATTCGGGCAGCATTGGCAGCTTTAACACCAACCCTGTTGAAATATATTTGATTAATTACAAATGTTTGTGACTAATATAGACTACAGTCAGCAAAGCTCTCTCTCTCTCTCTCTCTCTCTCTCTGGCTGCATAAGGAACATGAATGACCTGGCAGCACATGCTGCATCAGTAACCACCACTTGAATGAAACGTTTAACGAAAAGACAGCTTAAATTAATCAGCAATGTATGTCTGTAAATATCAACTCTACTTAGCATACCGTGGAATCTGATGGACTATTGATAAGACTGAAACAAATTTCATATCAGATGTATATGTTTGTGACTAATCTTACACTGAGTCTTCAATCACAAGGCAGTGAACTGCATCCATGCCCATTTGCTTTGCTGCCTCTTCAAATCTGTAAAAGTTTGGGAAGTACATTAATATCAGCTAAAAGGAAAATAAAATGTATATGAGATGATATTTTCTTCTTAACAGAAATTGAAGCGAACACTAGTGGAAATGTTATCATTCTGATACTAGTGAACACTAGAAAATGGAAGTACAGTAATGAAATTTTTTCTGCCACAAGTTTTTGCTAACATCATTGCAGCAGATTCATTTCATAATGACTTCTTTTCTATTTTCATGGAGACTGATCAGGCCTTTAGATGCCTTCCATGTTCAAGGGGGTGGAGAATTCCAAAGTTCCATTTGTATATGTTCAAGGAAGCATTAAGTTTTCTGTGAATTCACTACTTACAAATCTGGAGAGGGCTTCCCCGCTTTAACCTGGTCACTGCCAAGAATCACCGAAAACCTTTCTTTCCAACCTATAATTAAGACATGAGAAAATCAGAGAAACCACAGGCCATCCATTATGTTAAAAAAATTTGAATGAGAATAACACAGACTTGAAGGTTATTTTAGAACAATTTAACATGAGAGAAAGAGAGAGAGAGAGAGAGAGAGAGGCAATCTTCATAATTACTATAAAGATCAAATTTGCTCAAGGAATGAAATAAGTCAACAAAATCATGCCAATTTGCCATTATCAACAATAATCAATTTTTTTTAATTACTTAGCAGCAGTAGCTTCAATCTCAGCTACCTTTATTAAAGACTACAATTAAGAAAATAAAAGTAACAATCAATAGTAGGGCAAGAGGCAGCAACACAATGACTTTCATTTCATTGTCAAATTTTGGCTCAGCAAAGTGATATTATATATGTTATTAACAACAACAATCAAAAGCTAAGTATTTAGGAACCTGGAGAGGCAAAGAGGAAATTGTACAGACCTCGATGGTGAGAGATCTTTGCATCTATGTATTCTCGTAAGGAGTTCGAAGCAAGAGCTATAGGCACACCACGGTCATGGAAATGTTTGATAAGGCGATTAGCACCAGGAAGAGCTTTCGAGTACAACCACCTAAATGTACACAGTCAACAACTTAGCACATAAGGAGACAATTCAAAGGCCAGCAAGAACACATGCACATACAAGTAAATCATAAAATGAGAATGCTTATCAATTATTACCACGCTGAAATCGGTACTACATAGCTACTATTTTAAAATGTGGGGCTTGATATCACAAAAGCTCTTTGCTTGCTTCCAGAGAACTTTCAAACGTGTTAAGACATCTAAATGAATGCTCACATCACATGTACACTAATGATATGAGATAAATTTGAAAACTGGGAGCAGCTTAAAGAAGTATGATTATATATATAATTATGGTTATCTGTGGCATAGAGAAGAGCCTTACTTTTCTTGATACATGGGGATGATTTCTTGGATAAACTGATCAGGGGTCAATGGGAGACCATAGTCCTTAACAACAGAAGTTGCTGAGTCTTTCAATGTCATTCCCAAACTCTTCTTCTCTTCCCTTTCCTTATCCAAAACTTTCCCATACCTGGCCAAGAATTCCTGGAAAACCCCCTTTGTAGCCCTCTCTGAACCACAGGCACAAACAAAAGACACAAGAGTTTGATACTTAAACAAAAAAGAGAGTAACCCAGCAAGCCAAAACAAATGGGGTTTTGAATTAGGAGAAGATATTTGAGACCTGTGTCTATAAGGGTCCCATCCAAATCAAAAATGACAGCCAAGATCTTGGGTTTTGGGGCCTCTGCATTGCAGTGTTTGGAGGCACAGTCACAGCAGCTCATGGCTGGGCCAAAAGGGTCAGTCTTTTGTGTGTGTGTGCAAATGAGGAATTGTCAAGAAAGGTTTTCCAAAGATTGAGAAAAACTGAAAACCAAGAATTTGATTGGAATTGGTTTTCTTCTGTTTGTGTATGTCATTATATAAACCATCTGATGGGCAGGGCAAGTTGTGAGTGGTTAAGCCAAAATATCTTTTTTGGGTGTTGTGAGGAAGAAGATGGGTTTGCTAGCTTAATGGGCATTCGAATGGCATTGTTCTAAAGGTGCCTGCAAATTGAATGCAAGTTGTGATCGAGATGCGATATTGCAAATTGAAGGAACACAAATTCACTCTCCTCTGTTTTTCCCTTCTTTCATTTTCAGCAGAACGATTCTTCTGCACTCGAGCAAACAGTGGTCCTTCAGTCGTAAATCACAATACGAACTTCCACGGTGCCACAATTTATAATTTTATTTATTTATTTGTTTGGTAAAATGGGCTGGGCAGAGTCTTTCTTTTATGTTTGGTAAGCAAAACGTTACGAAGTGTTCCAATTCTCTACGGACTTGGCATTTTCTATGGCGGATCTGGATCTGCCTTCTCTTTGTTTTGATACTATACCGACGGATAAAACATAAACAACCTCCAATAAAAGATAAATAAATAAATGAAACAAAAAAACTCAAACTAACATTTTTTGTTTTTATTTTTTTTTATTGATGGACCACCAAACTAACACCGTTGCAGTTTCGACACCGAAAATGGCTCTTTAATATTTTAGCGAAAAATGTAAACGTTAATATTCGTCTTAACAAAAAAATTAGAAGAGCATAATGAAAGTCTATGAGTAATGCTACACTTGTCACATTTTTATTCCACATGATATGGCATGTCCATATCATATGCCACATCAAATAAATAAATAAAGTGTATTTTAATGTGGTATGTACAAATCAGCTGCCACATCATGTGGTATGAAATTGTGGTATAATAATGTGGTAAGACTAGTATTATTCAAAGTCTATCTATGCTGATAGCAAAATTAGTAAATTCAAAGTCTGAAATAATGAAATTCAACACAAGGATATAGCCGGCTGCCTTGTTATGCCAATTGGAGCCATTGAAACTTTTGATTGTAATGGCAATTTGAGCCATTAATTCAATCTTGTATTTCTTGTTGACCTCTCTGATAAATCAGCCGTTTGGTGTTTATGATTAGCAAACAAATATGTAATTCTTTGAACATATATAAACGATATTGAGGAATGGGAATTCGAACATGGCGCGGCATTATTATTGTTAAAGCGATGCATGCTTAAACAGTGATTAACAAGTGGATACAGAGGCATTATCAAACATGCAGGTACGAATATATTCTTTAATTACAATCCCACTTCAAACAACATCTTTCAGCTGGTTGCCAGCCCAGGAACCTGTTCCTCTATACTTCAAGTTCACACCATTCCAACGTTCGAGCACAACAAGACCCATACCAAGAAGAAGCTACTTGGGTTGAAGGGTTAAAGGGGGTGCCGATTGGATAACTCACAAGATCAGAGGTATGTTTTAATACGAAATGAACGTCGACTTCAAAATTTTGTCCAAGTTGAAGGAACTATACTCCAGTGAGTTATCTAATCGATCGGATCCATTCCTAGGCACCAAACATAGCCTCAATGTAACAAAGCGGATTACTTTTCTCACCATATTCTTCCATGTCATCATTCGATGGCTAGTAATGTCTAAAGTGCATTTTATGGATTGTTGCAAACAGTATCCAACATGAAACAATCAAACTTGAGACCACTTAACATACACAGCTAAAGCATAACAACAAAGTAAGAAGCAAGACCGAGTGGACTTTTAATATACAGCGTCAACATACATTCAAATTTAGTACACCAAACAGCGCAAATCAGTATGAATTCGTCCATCTGGGCTACGGCATTTTCACTAATACAAGAAAATCACCCTAAGCAATCAGGTCAAATCCTCTATACTTAATCCGAGATCACTGAAAAGGGAAAGCTAGTGCGAATGCAGCTCAGACCATGTCCAGATACAATGCTATAATAAACCACACCACATAACACGGGACTTGACTCAAATGGAAAAATAAAAATAAAAAAGAAGAAAATCAGTACAAAAATAAGAACATAGGTAAACAATGAACTCCTAATTTTGTCCAACACCAAGGTACACAAGACTCAGATCCATCCTTGATCCATAATACACAGTGAGCGCATTCTAAGGTGCTACCTGCATCACTGCCAGAGAGAAATAAATGAGCAGAGTAGTCAAACAAATCAGAATACTAATTGACAGCTAAGAAATATGCGAGATACTCACGGCCGCATCTTCCAGCCCACCAACCTTGGCACTGCCATTCACCTTCTGGGAATCTTCTGCAGCAGAAATACGAAAAACGATAGTAAGAATTAAAGGTGCTTGGTATTTAAAATTGATCCAATTTGCTACCCATCAACAAGCTTATATTTCATACTTGGTTATTTATGGCAGGTCAGTTTTCTATTATGGACTTCAATTTTACAAAAAAATTTGGTGCCCTCAATTGCTACTATACAAAAAAGGCATCATTCAAAGCAGCAAATAAGGGTGGACAGATCTCTTATTAATCATTAGATTCCATTCCATCAAAGCGCCCCCAAAGAACCTCTAAACATCAAGGATAGCAATTTTTCTCAACTCTACATATCATTTCAAAGTGTAGAAAAACAAATATAAACTAAATGCTTGGAATGTACATCAGAAATGTATGCTCAACGTTAATTACTGAATGAAAGTTATCATGGTTGAGCTTACTGAAAACTTGGTTTGTTCTGACATCCACTCACTAAGTCATAATTAGAGACAGAAGCTTTTTTGCTAGTCAAGAATCAACGTATACAATGTAAAACATCAGAGACAAAAGTTGTCCAACAAGCAGCCAAGTTGTACATAATTTATGTTTCCTACCCTATTCTGCTTCACACAATAAAAAATTCTGTGACATGCTATTTAAACCACTAAGGAAACAAATGTTTGTACACTTTCCTAACCACACCATTCCCCCACCCTTTTTCCTCAATATGTGCACATATGCACACTTTGTGAAAAAGATGTGTTGAACAATAACCATAAATGATAGTAACATTTTCTTTCCTTCTGTCCTGTCTAAGATGATAGCATTTTCATATGCTAACTTTCTTCTAACTGATATGTTTTCAATGCAGAAATACCTGCCAAGATACTGAACAACTAAATGCATGCACACCAGGCCTTCTTACAATTCAAATTTCATACTCTAACAAACTTGATGCGAACCAATCCAATTTTGTTTACAATGTTACAAACTCTGAATGCATAGCGTTTCGTAATCCAAGCTCATAAAACTATTAACACATTCATATCCATTCATTATAGTGTTTAATTAATTATTTAAAGTTCAGATGACACAAACTTACTACCAATTCTGATCTCTAGCATGCAAATATATTTCCTTCCAACATGATTAACAGGGAGACTATAGAATCAATAAAATATGTCAACATGCACTTCAACAGCCATTCCTTTAAAACCTTTCTGACACTGACATTACTGTAATGTCTCTTCATTTATAGATGATTTTTACTTATTCATTCCGACTGGTAATTTGAGCTCTCTATTTATGGTCAACTTGTCCCACTCTGAAGAAAACTAAAGTCTTCTTGTCGTAGTTAGACCAATATATTACTGGCCTTCACATAGAAAGTTATTTTGGAAAACTACCATGATGAAATACAATACAAATTCAGAAAATAAAAATGAAGGTCACAACTCAATCGGACCGTTTTCACTAGTTTTCCACCTTCAAGTGCCATTTATCTCAAATTTCTCTTCTATAGAATCACATCATCACAGTCCTCTCTTTTTTTTTTCCCGTTTAACTTATGTTCACCAAAATTCATCAATTTCAGACAAACCATGTACATTTTAATTTATTTTTCAAAGCAAGTTTTTTACGAGCTTAAAAATCCGAGTAAGTTTAATTTTCAAGATGATGGTGAGATAGTTAATGCAATGCAATGCACTATTGTCAATTATCATTAGTCCGTTGGCACATTTATTGTTTTACAATTTTTTTCAAAAACCAGACAAGATCCCTCAAAATCAACTATACTGCAACAAGTGCCATCCTAGAACTTACACTTCCAAAGGCTAAGGTTTCATGTTTTGTTCTTAAAGTTTCCCTTTCATAACAACCTTGATCTCATTGGCTGTGGTGGTGACTGATGAGTTGCAGAAGAGGCAACTCACTGAAGGACAGAACCTGCACACCTATATTGACCCAAGGATGCCAATGGGTCTAACCCAGTGGAAAAGGGACTTGACTTTAAGACTAGCGGTCTTAAAGTCATAGTAGTTTAGACTATCGCTTGTACTAAAAAAAAATATTGACCCGAGGATAATTGTGATACACTTGTTTGTCTTTTTTGGTCAACAATACATTTGTTTGTCACCAGAAACATTCTCAGTCCCAAATTAGGAAAGGAGCATTTCCTTTGAAGGGTATTTGATTCTAAGAATACATATAAAATAGAGATATTCTGCTAGCAGTAAATGAAATATGAGCTAGGTTTTAGATAAGAGACATTTAACTCACAAGCCAAACAATATTTCACCAACCAAGATGCCCAGTTTATCAGTTACCAAACTAGCAGATTTTGCTTAGAGAAATCATACGCACACTACATGACCATTTTGCCCATGAAGTTTATATGATATTCAAAATTCCATTTAAAAAATCTGAGGTCTTTTAATTTAATCTTCTTTCCATAGTAATTTTTCATGAAATTAAAATTTGACCAGAAAATTTTGAAAACACTGCAAATGTTAATAGCCAATTCCTTTGAACCATGAAATTTGAAGAGAGAGGAATAGCAGCCAGTCTATGATTGTAAACCCTAATAAACAACATAGTTTCACAACTAGCTTATGCAACCTTTTAAAGCGATTACTCTACAATAGTGGGTGAGACTTGAGCACGCACACCATTGTTTTCCCTTTAGGAAGATTGTTGAAAAGTACACACACACACACACACACACACCACAAGCATAAGAATGGTAACATCATGTTACTTTATAAAGCATATAGCAAGACACCCTAAGAAATGCAATTAATTTAAAATCCAATCCAACCAAGGAACAAATAACCAAAGCATATAGCCTGAAGCAAATCCCAAGAGTGGGGAAAGCAATAATAGGAGGGGAAGGGGACTAATCCAATATAACATACTAATCCTCTAAACTTTCCTACACATGGGAATTATTTGCATGATTAACTCCTGAAATGATTAATACTATCACCTCCATCCTCTGGAAGGTCCGAAGTCCACAATGTGAGGTTGTCCCTTAGAAGCTGCATGATTAAGGTGCTATCTTTGTATGACTCCTCATTCAGCGAGTCAAGCTCAGCAATAGCTTCATCAAAAGCCATCTTTGCAAGGTGGCAAGCCCTGGAAAACAGTATTCACATCAAGAAGGGTATTATAACATAAATTAACACTAATCAACCAGAAGATAGCATCCTACAAACCTTTCTGGAGAATTCATGATCTCATAATAGAAGACTGAGAAATTCAAAGCCAGACCCAAGCGGATGGGATGTGTAGTTGGCAACTCACCTTCAGCAGCAATGGTGGCACTCTGCAAAGGGCATAAATTTTAAAAAGATAGGCGAGTGAGAGAGAGAGAGAGAGAGATCATGGAGAGATTTTTTTTTTTCAGGGACAATGTTTGCAATGTTAAGCAGATGAACAAAAACTCCATGAGACAACATCCATATGCAAAAGTAATTCTCGCAAACAAATAAGTTATGCACAAATGCAGCTGACATACATTTTCAATAAACCAAAGATGAGAAACATTTTCTTTTATCAACCAAGACGATAAGTCCTATAAAAACAAGTTGAAAATCTGAATTAAAATAGAGGAAAACAGTGCTTTAACATTGACAGAACAAGAAAAACCAAGATGCCAATTTGTCTTCCAAAAAAAATCCTCAGTTGATAGTTAAGAAAGCATCCATTAGTTAGTGCGAATCCTTTCATGTATAAACAATAGAGGACAAGAAAAACGACCTTTCCAGATAGAACACAACAGTAACAGCCATCAAACAACAATTTTATAGCATCACAGAGAGGGAGAGAGAGAGAGAGAGTAACCTCATATGCTTTCTTCGACTGTTCAGCAGCCTCTTTTTTATCATCACCGCTCTTGAATTCTGCAAGATACCTATAATAATCTCCTTTCCTACAACCAAATTATTTCAAGGTCAACATTAGTTACCTTCATGATGCTCATTTCAAAACCCAGTGAAAAGATAAAAGAAAAATATCGCTTGGGTTTGGAGAAATGTAGTCTCACATCTTATAATAGAAAACAGTAGATTCACCAACTGTAGCTGAAGGAATTAGATGCTCATCGATCACTGTCATGATATCACCACAAATGGTCGAGAGCTCTGATTCAACCTTCTGCCTATACTCCTTGAGTTGCTTCACATGATTCTCATTTCCTTTTGCTTCCTCTTTCTGTTCTATTGATGATAGGATCCTCCATGATGCTCGACGAGAACCAACAACATTCTTGTACCCAACAGAGAGCAAGTTTCTCTCTTCAACTGTCAATTCAACATCAAGATTTGCAACCTTCTTCATTGCATCCACCATCTCTGTTAAAATTTAGAGGAGAAGTCACAAAAAATAATCATTGTTTCAATCTACGATCAAGTAAAAGAACCCACACTTTTCACCACGGCATAAACATATTTAAGTAAGTGGAGCAATTCCCCCATTTAAAATCTCCATGGAGTTTTACTCTTTCACATTGGAGCTCCAAACAAAGATCCAATATAATAAAATCTTCTGGAAATAGATAAACTATGTTAATGGGTAATAGAATGCACACAAAATATAAATAACAATAACTATCTCTCCTTTACACTAACTATCTGAATGATCCTTAGTTCAGATCAGCATACAACGCAAAAATTGAAAGATTCTCCATTTTCCTTCACTTTCTCACCAACCAAACACTGAGTTAGCAAAAATGAAGCGACAGGAAAATAATATCAAACTCCATAACATACAGATACAGCAAGGAACGTGATTCACAAAATAATCACAAACAGTATCAAACAGAAATGTGTAGCAGAAGAAGCCAAATTAGAGGGAGAAACCCTAACCATCGTATCGCTCTGCCTGCTCAGAGAGCTTGGCAAGGTAGACGAAGTTTTCACGCTCTGTAGCGAAACCCATGGCAGATCTCAGAGAAAGAAAATCAGAGAATTCAAGGTTTTTCACAGCGTCGAGTTTGGGGTTTGGGGTTTGGGCCTCGCGAATTCTTCGTCCTTTGATCTTACAGTCGACTCACAGACGCGCAAACTCTTTTATAAAAAAATTAAAAAAATTAAAAAAACCAAAACGGTCCAAGATTTAGTTTTATTAATATTTTTTAATTTATTTATTTCTGTCCCTTTTTTTTTGGTCTAAATTATTTTTGTCCCTTTGCCGCTAGAATTGGATTTCTTCGACAAAAATAAAATTAAAAAGAAGAATAGGAATTTCCAGACAGTGTCTTAGACGTGTGGCCTTTGAAAACGTGCCACATGTGGTTAGGACGAAATATCACGAGGCTTTACAGGGACGAATTAGAATATGCCAAGTAATCGTCTAGAGGACCAATACGGATTATACTTCGATAAAAAAATTGCGGATTATACTCATTTTTGTTGTAAAAAAAGTGGTAAAGCCCACATAAAGAAAATAATAAAATAATAGTCAAAAGCTTAATGATGATGTTAAGTTTAATGATGATGTTGGGTAATGAAGCCATTCAATTTGCCTATAAATAGGCTTGCTCATTCAATTTGCCTATAAATAGGCTTGCTGATTCAATTGTAGAACATACCAAAGAAGAAGAGATTAAAGAAAGGAAAAGTAGGAGGAAACAAAAGAGAGTGAGTTCTATCAGAGAGGAAATTCTGTCGGTGTAAACATCATAAGAACAAATATAATTCTACTCATAATATTCAATGGTACTTTTCATACTCTGTTATTTTATTTTTATAACACGTGATCAACACTATAGTTTTTCCTCTTTACTTCTAAATTTTCCAAGCTCAAGATTATGTGGTTATTTCTCTGTCTCCTCTCTATCATATGTCTCCTCTCACTTTACTACTACAACGACATGCAAACTTTCTTTTTTGTATTCTCACAATTTTTATGTTGCTTCATCCATGTTTGTTTAATTTATTTTTTCGTACTGTAATTTGGAATGTTGAGGTTTTATACCCCATCCTGTTATTTTATGGTGGTGTAATTTTGATTGCCCGTCGCATTGTAACACATATTATCGTAATAAAAATGATGGTGTGATCTTAAAACCCATCTTATTATATTTTGAATAGTGGCGTTGTTATATTGTCTGCAATATATAATCTATATATATAAAGCAAAATGCAGAGAATTGTGAAACATTCAAAATACCAGAAAATGCGGTTGATTAATTCAAACATTAAGAATTAAAATTATTAATTAAATGAGGATAATATGGTAAATTCACATTTTATATTAAAAAATTAAAATTAAAAACAAATAAGATAATAGGTCTCACTTTTATGAAAAATAACTATCCATGTTATCTTTCTTTAATTTTAAAAATAAAATAAAAAATAAAAAATAAAACCAATTGGCAACGGCCTAGTATGTTATATACTTCATATATATTAGGTGGTGGTTTTATCCCCACATTTACTTTATTAATTGTATGGTGTAGGTTTGTTACCGAAGCGGCAGTATTTATTTAAAAGTGTGGTGACATCCATACAACAATCAATTTACCTTATGAATTTACTTTATCGCACGTTTACTTTTATTTAATTTTATTTAAAGTATGGTAACGTCCATACAGCAAGCAATTTATCTTATAAATTTACTTTATCGCACGTTTACTTTTATTTAAAGTATGGTAACATCCATACAACAATCAATTTACCTTATGAATTTACTTTATCGCACGTTTATTTTTATTTAATTTTATTTAAAGTATGGTAACATCCATACAACAATCAATTTACCTTATGAATTTACTTTATTACACGTTTACTTTTATTTAAAGTATGGTGTGGGTTTATCCTCCGTACCAGCAAATTTATTTATAGCACTTTATTTTTATCATCAATTAATATACATGAATAATAAGGGCTTGAAGTTCCTCAAACAATTATAGAGCATGAAGTTCCTATTAATAAATGGCTTAATGTCCCAGATCCCGAGCCTGAAGTTTCAGGTAAAATATGCAAGATATTTTTGGCCTAAAGTTCAAAAATATATTAAGCCTAAAGATTATTGCAAATTCTAATGCATCTCAATTTCTTTGAAGATGGCAAACTTGGCAAAACTGGAATTTGCTACCATGGACATTTCGAGGACAACTATCTATCATGGGTCTTGGATGCCAAAATCCATCTACGTGCCAATGGCCTTGGAAAAACAATTGTAGATGGAAGTGATGCATTACCTGAGGAAAATGCAAAGGCTATGATTTTTCTTTGTCGTCACATTCATGAAGCACTGAAAAACGAATATGTGGTGGTTGATGAACCATTGGTTATGTGGAAAGCCTTATGCGAAAGATACAATCACTAGAAGACAGTGACCCTCCCAAGAGCCAGATATGAGTGGACACACTTGAGATTCCAAGACTTCAAGTTAGTGTTAGTACAACTCAGCAATGCACAGAATCACCTCCCTGATGAAACTATGTGGTGAAAATATCTCTGAGGATGATATGCTTGAGAAAACTCTGAGTATCTTTAGTGCCGCAAATGTGCTCATGCAGCAGCAATACATGCGTAGTGGTTTTACGAAGTACTCAGAATTGGTATCTTGCATTTTGTTGGCTGAGCAAAACAACGAGCTTTTATTGAAAAATCACCAATCTCGCCCAACATGCTCAGCACCACTTCCTGAAATAAATGCTGCATCTCAGGAAGTGAATGCCACCTCATCTCATGGCAGTATCCACAGACGTGGGCTAGGAGGCAAGCTTGGCCGCTGGCAAGGAAATAGAAAAGATCGTGGTGCCCATTTATATGGCTTGGGTCCAAGAAGCAATCCATCCACGAGTGGCAAAAATGCATCTTGGAATAAGGGGAAAAAACAGACAAGCCAAATGTTGAAGGTGCTTATCACAAATGTGGCGCAAAGAGACATTGGGCGCTTACATGCCGTACGCCGAAGCATTTGGCGGATCTCTATCAATCTTCACTTAAGAATAGAAAAGTGGAGACAAATTACATTGATCATGTTATACCAGATTTGCCAGCCATAGATGGCCCATCGGAAATATTGCGTCAGTTAGACATGATGCATTTGGATGTTTCCGATTTTGTTATTGAAAGAGGGAATGGAGTTTATGGGTCCAAAATAGACTAAATTCCTTTATGTACCATTTGTATTATTTGAAGTACTGTTTTCATTTCAATCCAGTAAAAGTGGCAGTGTTTATTCCTTTACATTGAATAATTGTTTATTGATCTAGCTTATTTTATTTATTTGAAGGCATGTATTTAAATTATGGATGTTGCCAAAAACTCTAGCAAATATATTTGTCTCCCAAACAATGCGACTACTCATACGATCCTTTGAGATCGAAAGTATTTCTCAAACTTGATGCTTACAAATGCAAAGGTAGCAACCATATCATATCTTACAAATCTGATTGAAGGCTCAGAAACAACCTAAGTTGTGTTACCAAATGGAACAATACTGTCTATTCAAGATGCTTTATTATCTAACTCTAGAAGGAATCTGTTGAGTTTTAAAGATATATGTTTGAATGGCTACCATGTTTAAGCTTTAGCATGTTCGGTTGGGTCATCCTAGATCCACCATGATGCGTAGGATCATCACCAACTCTAAAAGACATCTCTTGTTGACAACACACATTATGTTATCAAGTGACAGCTCTTGCCAAGCTTGTTCACAGGGGAAGTTGGTGATCAGACCATCACAACCAAAGGTTGATGTTGAATCCCCATAATTTTTATAGAGAATCCAAGGGGACATTTGTGGGCCTATTCATCCTCCCTGTGGACCATTTTGGTACTTTATGGTCTTGGTTGACGCATCTACCCGATGGTCACATGTTTGCCTTTTGTCCACTTGGAATATGGCATTTGCTAAGCTCTTGGCTCAGATAATTAAATTACGAGCCTAATTCCCAGATTATGCCATTAAGTCAATTAGACTCGATAATGCTGGTGAATTTACATCTTAGACTTTTGATGACTACTGCATGTCACTAGGCATTGACATTGAACATCATGTTCCTCATGTTCATACTCAAAATGGCTTTGCAGAAGCTTTAATTAAGCGTCTTCAATTGATAGCTCGCACCTTACTAATGAAGACAAAGTTGCCAGTTTCTGCTTGGAGACATGCCATTTTACATGCAACATCATTTGTGCGATTGAGGCCCGTTGCCAACAATCAATATTCTCCAATACAACTCGTGTTGGGTAATCAACCAAACATTTCACATTTAAGAGTTTTTGGTTGTGTGGTATATGTGCCCATTGCACCACTGCAACGTACTAAGATCGGCTTACAACGTAGATTGAGAATTTATGTTGGTTTTGATTCACCATCTATCATCAGATATATGAAGCTCTTGATGGGTGATATCTTTAACGCACGGTTTGTGGATTGTCATTTTGATGAGACAATTTTTCCACTATTGGGGGGAGAAAAATCTGTTCCTAAAGAACAACAAGGCTTACTCTTTCTTGAAGAACGACGTGAATTATCGTGGGATGTACCCACTTCGTCTCATCTCGATCCTTGTTCTGCTCAATGCGAAATCGAAGTGAGAAGGATCCTTCACCTCCAAAGTATTGCAAATCAAATGCTAGATGCATTTAATGATACAACAAAGGTGACGAAATCACATATCCCAGCTGCAAATGCACCTGCAAAGATTGATGTCCATAATGGACAAAACAATGTGCCAACAAATGATTCATTTGTTGCACGCCTGAAGCATGGTAGGACCACTAGGCTAAAAGGATTTAGTCCCTTGAAAGAGGAAGTTGATGGCCAAAATGAATCCAGTTGAAATAAATGGAGAGCCCACAATTCATAATTCAAATGCCCCCGATGAGGGACAGGTACTTCTTGAAAAGGAAAATGTCATTGGTGAGACAAGTGCCCCTGAAGTGGCAGCGGTACTTGAAAGTCAAGAAATCTCCATAAATTATATATCCACTAATGAATTGTGGAATAGAAATGAGATGATCATCGATGATATATTTGCATTCTCAGTGGCTACTGAGATCATAAAAGATGATGATATTGGGCCTTGCTCCATTGATGAATGCACACAGAGACATGATTGGCCTAAGTGGAAAGATACAATCCAGGCAGAATTAAATTCTTTGGGAAAAAAGAGTGTTTTTGGACCTATTGTTCCAACTTCACCCAATGTGAACCTTGTGGGTTATAAGTGGGTATTTACAAGAAAGCGCAATGAGAAAAATGAGATCGCGAGTCATAAAGCGCGACTTTGTTGCACAAGGTTTTTCACAAAAGCCTGGAATTGATTATGTGGAAACATACTCTCGAGTAATGGACGCAAATATGTTCTGTTACTTAATAAGTTTGACGGTTTCAGAAAAACTTGATATGAGACTTATGGATGTCATTACCACATATTTGTATGAAGAATTGGATACATATATATACATGAAAGTCCCAGCAGGACTTAAGCAGCCTAAAGTAGCCAGGAATAAACCACGGGGCATGTTCTCAATTAAATTAAGAAGATCATTATATAGGCTAAAACAATCTGGGCGAATATTGTACAATCATCTCAGTAAGTATTTACTAAAGGAAGGATACACAAATGATCTTATTTGCCCATGTGTGTTTATTAAGAAATAAGAGTCTGGATTTGCGATAGTGGTAGTATATGTTGACAACATGAAACTAATTGGAACTCCTGAAGAGCTCCAAAAGACTGCTGATTATTTCAAATGTGAATTTGAGATGACAGACCTTGGAAAGACAAAATATTGTCTTGGCTTACATATTGAGCACAGTGCTAATGGAATTTTGGTGCATCAATCAACTTATACTGAAAAAGTATTGAAGCAGTTTGGCATGGATAAAGCCCATCCACTTAGAATTCCAATGGTCGTTCGGTCACTTGACACTAAGAAAGATCCATATCGTCCGAAAGGGGATGATGAAATGGTTCTTCCCAGAAGTACCATATCTTAGTGCGATAGGTGCTTTATTGTACTTAGCACAATGTACCATACCAGACATAGCATTTTCAGTGAATTTGTTAGTAAGATACAGCCCTGCTCCAACAAGCCGACATTGGACCGGCATCAAACATATTCTACGATATCTTCGTGGGACTACATACATGGACTTATTCTATTCCAGTGTATCGACCAATGCCCGAGTATTGTTGGATATGCTGATGTAGGATACCTCTCTGATCCACATCAAAGACGCTCACAAATTGGGTATGTGTTTACATGTGGAGGAACTGCAATCTCATGGCGCTCAAAGAAACAAACGTTGGTAGCCACATCTTCCAATCACTCAGAAATACTTGCCCTCCATGGAGCCAGTCATGAATGCGTTTGGTTAAGGTAAGTGATCCATCACATCCAAAGCACATGTGCCCTACCCTCAGCAACGGACACTCCAACAATCATGAATGAGGACAATGCAGCTTGTATTGCTCATATCACAGGAGGATAAATCAAGGGTGATAAGACCAAGCACATATCACCAAAGGTTTTCTACACACATGAGCTTTAGAAGAGCCAAGAAATCAAAGTCAAACAAATCCGTTCAAGCGATAACCTAGTAGATCTCTTCACCAAGTCTTTGCCAAAATGTACATTCCAAAAGCTAGTGCATGACATCAGATTACGTCAACTCTGCAAGCAATCAAATTGGAGCATGCAAAATCAGAGGGAGCATTCAAAAGTCCTCTAACATAGGACATATGCATGTTGTACTCTTTTTCCTTCGACTAGGGTTTTTCCTAGCAAAGTTTTAACAAGGCAACATGAGCGCATTGAATGTTACCCTTATGTCCCAAACAAAGTTGTACTCTTTTTCCTTCGCTTAGGTTTTTTCCCACTGGATTTTTCCAAACAAGGTTTAAATGAGGCAACCAATCTAGGGACACGTGGTCTCCAAGGGGGAGTGTTGTAAAGAAAGTGGTGAAGCCTACATAAAGAAAAGAAGGAAATAATAGTCAAAAACTTAATGATGATGCTGGAAGCTTAATGATGATGTTGGGTAATGAAGCCATCCAATTTGCCTATAAATAAGCTTGCTCACTCAATTGTAGAACACACCAAAGGAGAAGAGAGGAAAGAAAAGACGAGAAGAAAGGAAGAGTGAGAGGAAACAAAAGAGAGTGAGTTCTATCTAAGAGGAAATTCTGTCAATGTAAACATGACAAGAGCAAATACAATTCTACCCCCAATATTCAGTGATACTTTTCATACTATGTTATTTTATTTTTATAACAGTTTTTGTGTGTTTTGATTTTATATGGTTCATACTACTGATTTAGCCCTCTGAATATGATATGTTTTACTCTTCTTCGAGTTGCCAATTAAAGGAGAATATAGGCAAAACCATAGTTGGCACCTATTTGAGATACAATTAAATTGATATTTTACCAAATTCTTTGATACTCAACAACATGTTGCACATGTTATGTTAGGGCTATTATTTTGTTGTCTTATTTTCTTGTGATGTAGCGTGACAAAGAATGACTAAGCCTTTAGCCTAAAACATATAACTCTGGAATCCACCAGCAAGATATAGAGAAACCTCGGGTTTATTAATAAATTGAAATAAAAATACATAACTCTAGCCACGGGTAAAATCTGTTTAAATACTCCTAGAAACACTAGGAATTAAAATATGAAAAATAACAAAGTTTCTCAAAATTGTAAAAACATAAAAATTGAATTTTGGGCTGCTAAACAATCTAGTATGCCTGAAAAAAAGCATATGTCATGGCAAAGATATGTGTTTTACGCGTGACAATGTTCTATTCGAATCGACGAATCATGGGCCTAATTCTAAGCTAGGAGCCCAAATATGTCGTTTGCCTTATTTACCCTTGCGCGTGCATATTTCTAACTTCTCTTCGATTGCTTCTGCCATCTGTTCTACTTCACTTGACTTCAACTCCCAAAAAAATTGATAAGAGTGACATTGACCTATCCTAAGGATGATGAGTAATATATATTACACTCGAAAAGCTTCACATTAATCATATGATATCAATCAAAAGACTTCACCTTTATATGTTATCTAACGAGTAATTTGGTTATGAGCTTTGTCTTAACAACTTCTAAAATTTATTGAAAGCCATAAACAATTCATTTTTAAAATTTAGAATCATTCTTTGCAAATTCAACCTCATTGTTCAGAGTGTTTGTCCCACATTAAAAAAGTTAAGAAACCTAACATGAGTTTATAAGAAGTTGGGGTATTGCCAATTAGTTTTGGAGTGTGAAACCTTAACTTTATTCATTGATGATATTTCTCCATTGCTCACGCACACATTGCCAACATTGCCAACTGTTTTTTTTTTTTTTTTTTTTTTTTTTTTTTTTTTTTGGAACATCCATCATGTTACCACATGCCAAACTCTTAGTTTTCATTTTTTCGAAGGACTTGATGAAAGTTTTTTCCCTTTTCTCTGTACGCCTTTTATTTTTTATTTATTTTTCATTTTTCTTTAATATAAGCGATAGTTTAAATTATAAGGGCTCATTTGTTAATAGCACTATTTTAGCATGGACTATGCTTAGGGACTATCTTGGCTTGGTCTAAATTAGATAACATTTATCTTGTGTTTGATGTATGCTTGGACTAGGACTAGATCTTTTTATTTTTCCAAAAATATCTATATATATGTATATATGTATAAATACATATGTTAATGTACGTGTATATATGTATTTTATAATATATATAATATATGTATATATATCCATTCATATATAATATATATAACATATATGTGTATACAAAGAGCTTCCATTGAGGGATCCCTCAAATAAGCTTATTTGAGGGGCACCCTTTGTAGGGCTCACTTCGGATTGTATTTCACTAATCCAAACAATCTATTTTGTGAATACTCATTCAAAGATCATATCTACAAAAAATCACATGAATCCGATATCATTTGATGACTCAATTGAGTTCTTGAAATTTTAATACTTTCTTGAAGCAATGTGTTCATTGATTTTGTAGGACACAATTGGATGTCGTAACGATTTTCGATTTGTCTAATTTTTTGCAAAGATGATTTATGAATATAGACTTAAAAAATAGATGTTTGGATCGTTGAAAAAAAATTTGTAGGGGACCCTAAATGGTGTCCCTCAATAGAATGGGATTGTATATATATATATATATATATATATGTATATATGTTTATTATAATAATATTATATATTATAAATAATATATATGGGACTATCTATATATGTATATATATTTATTATAATAATATTATATATTATAAATAATATATATATATATATATAGTCCCTTATATTGAGGGATCTTTCAAATAATTTTATTTGAGGGACACCCTTTAGGGTCCCCTACGAATTATTTTTCAACAATTCAAACCATCTATTTTGTAAGTCTATATTCATAGATCATCCTTGCAAAAAATTAGACAAATTGGAAACTGTTTTGACATCCAATTATGTCCTACAAAATCAATGAACACGATACTTCAAGAAAATATTAAAATTTCAATAACTCAATTGAGTGGTCAAATGATATCAGATTCAAGTGATCTTTTGTAGAGATGATCTTTGAATGATTATTTTAGAAATAGACGGTTTGGATTAGTGAAAAATACAATGCGAAGTGCGTCCTACAAGAGTGTCCCTCAAATAAGCTTATTTGAAGCATTCCTCAATAGAAGGGGAGTATATATATATATATATGTGTGTGTGTGTGTGTGTGTGTGTGTGTGTGTGTGTATATATAGGTGTACATGGGCGGATGCACACAGGCATAAATGGGGTTAGGTGACCCCATGGAAGCTAGAAAAAAATGGATGTGGAGGTTTGAGGCAACCCCATGGCACACACCACATGTTTGATGAAATGCGCGAGAAGCCTTGCATTGCTGCTCCCTTACGTAGCGGGCGCGATGTTTTTTTTTTTATTTTTTAAATCTGGCTTCAAAACAGTGTTGTTTGAATGAAAAAAAAAAGAAAAAAAAAAAAAAAAAAAAAAAAAAAACAACATCAGCTTTACCCTGACTCCTCCAGCAATCTCCAAAGCCAAACACAATTTTCCCTCTCCTCTCTCACACCCTAACTAATGCCCAACCTCCACCACCACCTCCACGCCCAAAGCCCCCTCCCCCTTCTTTATCCTTGGGCTGCTTGCTTGCCTTGCCTCCCATCTTTTCGAGTTTCAAGTGAGTAGAAGAATTTATATTTTTAATAAAATTGTATTTATGTTTTTTTTTTTTTTTTTTTTTTTTTTTTTTTTTAAAATGAATTGAATTTATTGATATGATATTGATATTTATTGTTATTTGGATTTAAGTAAACAAGCAAGCACATAAACAACAGAGCTTTACCCATTGCAGATTCGCAAGCACAAACAAGTTGTTTTTTTACTTCAATTGAAGAAAAAATTGCTCAAAATATAGGTTTTATTGTACCTTAATCCTTATTCATTAATTAAATTATTGCTCTAATTTTTAGTTGATTTATTATTATTGTTTATAGCCTTAATGTGTTGATGTGATTGTTGAGATTTTCATTTGGAAATTAAAACTGTTTCCTAGGCAGTGAACATTAACAAAACTGATAATTTTAGTGATGAATAAGTTATCTATAAGGTTCTCCAACAAAAAAAAAAAAAAAAAAAAAAAAAAAAAAAAAATAATTTTTAAAAAAAAAAAATGTTCAAAATCACAAAAAACACCAAATCTTTTGGGTATTAGAAAGAGGGTTTCTATTCGAGATGATGGTAGAGTATTAGTGTGTCTGTGTGTGTGTATTTTTTTTTAAAATTTAATTTATTATTATTATTTTTAAAATAATTAGATAGGAAATTACTCATTTGTCCTAAAAAATGCCTCAATAGTTTAGCCCAAAAAAATTCAACACTTTTACACTGTGACCCTATGACCCGAGTATCCAGTGAGTATAATACGTATACATGTACATAATCTTGGATTTACGTGGGTAGGTGTATATATGTATATTATAATATATACATGGGTATAATACACACACACACACACACACACACACACATATATATATATGTCACGCCTCAACCCACAGATTTACGTTTTCTTGGATTAAGATGTGTTTCATACCTTAATTATATAATTTAATAAAAATTATAACTAAAATGTGAAGATTATTTAAATAAATAAATAAATAAATATTTCACATAGAATTTTCAGTGAAAATGACAACATCCGAAATCTTATATTTTTACACTATTTTACAAGTTAGAACTACTTAAGAGTTCACTAAAAAAGTAGCTCATTATTCAACCACAAGCTATGTACACAATACACTCTATAGACATGCCAAAATCATCACAAGTCCTAGATTTCAAGTTCAGTAC